AGTAGTTAAATATGAACTCTAAAACGTCATCAGCCAGCAGCCTACTATTCCATTGAAAATATGTGGGGAAATGTACTCTCCTGGGTGAATCACCTCAGCATCCCCATTATTCTTAATCCTTCAAAGTCCACTGGGAAGGTAGCTGAGCCAAATAGGGCTATTTTGAGGCTGACCCTGGCCAGCGACTGGACGCTCTCTTCTGCAGGTTTAGCTTCTCCCCAGGCAGCTCTGATGATTTCCCGTCTATTTTGCAATTAGTATGAGAAGGAGACTCTGGGGGATGTTTTTGCCTGTGCGCCCAGATTCTATGCTTCACAGCATCTTACGTCCTTGAAGCACCAGAGGAGAGTTTGAAAACTGTATCTCTCACGGCTCTTCCCGACAATACTCTTGATAATAATTCTTGGTAATTCCATGATCTGAGGTCCTTCTGGAGCTCAGCTTTGGAGTCTGCATTTGCTCCTCTCCAACCATTTGGTCCTTTACGGTCACTCACGCCCATAGCATGCCCTTGATGTTGGCATTGCCAAATTTGTGCTCCCTCCACAATCTTGATGCCAAATGTCCAACTCTGTCACACTGTCTCCTTCCGGTTCAGTCTTCCACCAATGATCCTTCAACCTCATGGATACACATAGATCGTTGCTCCTCCTACCTTACGACACCTGCAGGTCCCCATTGCCCTCTGTGCCGATGTAGATGCTGACATCTGGTCCCTCACCATCACCCCACCCATCATGCGCAATCAATCCCTTTGATCCGTCTCTTCCTACATTGTACCAGTCAAACCAAACCATTGTGCCAGTCACGCCAATGCCATGGCTCCATCCTGCCCGCCTACTGTGTCTGCACCTGCCCTGGGGTACGGGGGTCAACTTCACTACCTGTGCGTGAGTGATGGGTGCTTGTCTGGAGTTCCTATTCTGTCTCTCTACATCACTTATACTGATGCTTTCCAAGACAAAGATGTCATGTTTTCTCATCTTTCTTCAAATCTTCAACACTTCCTCCCCACCCACACTCTTGAGTGATGGCTTCACTGAGATCACAGAACAGCAGGCTGACAAGTCCCCCGTGTTTCCACCACTGCCTCCATCTGTGTCCACCCACCCTGCCTTCCCTCCTAACACAAAGGATGCATTTCCTAAGCACTCAACGCTCAAAGTCTTGCTTTAGCTACCATCCCGTTTTCCTACTTCCTCCCTTCTCTTGAAAGCCCTTTGTCCAATTTCCGGTTTCTACCATCCTCCAGAACCACCTTATCAAAATCGTTGCAGCAGCAACAGGCTGGACATCTCAAATTTCTTCTTCCTGGGCGCATAATCTAGCAACATTTCCTGATTACTTTGCATCTAAATGAGGCCACCTGACGGCTCTTGCCACAGGAAGCTGAGGGAGGGCATCCATTTAGGCTCTGGAGCATCAATGTCTGCTTCCCTATGAGCTGCTCCTCCTGTTTCCAAGGTGACCATGGCATCCACACACTGAAGATGGAAAGAGCTTGGTACCCAAATCATCACATCGAGGGTCATCCACCCAGTGCTTCGGTGGGTAGTGATATGACTGAGAAATAGCTGCTTATTTTGCTATTGACTGGGCATTATTTGTTAGAGAAATAAGCTTACCATAAATAAACTTACCAGTGCCCCTAAATTTCTAAACCCGGTGCTGTCTTCAGCAGCGCATACTCTATAATTCTAAATCCAATAGTAAGTTCTCAGCTGGTTTCACATTATGACCAAGTGGCACAGTTGATTAGTGGTTCCTTCTTGAAAAATATTCTTCACACATTCTCCAGGCCAGTAGTGGTGGACCTACGGCACATGTGCCACAGTGGGCACACAGAGCCCGGTTGGCACACGAGCTAAGTCACCCCAGCATCGGACAACACTGCACAAAAGAGTAGTGTTGACACTTTGGATAAATAAGTGGGTTTTGGGTTGCAGTTTGAGCACTTGGTCTCTAAAAGGTTTGCATTATTGCTCTAGGCCTTTAAAATTTTTTCAAACACATTTTAATATCCTTTGCTAATTCTCCCCCATGGAAGATGCCCCAGGGGTCAGTGCTTGGATTTCTTATCTATTATTAATCATTTCTCTGTGCAGATCAACCTGGCCCACGGCTTGTAACACTTTCTGTACAATGATGGTTTGCAGTTCACCTTGCCAGCCTGTCCCCAGCACTTGCTTATCCTCTGTCCTCACACACCTCACTTGGACCCTTATAGAAACCTCAAGCTTAGCTTATTCAAAACCAAACTCTTCACGCCTTTAAACCCACTTCACCCGTAATCCTCTTCTTGTCTGTAAGTAGAACTCTTCCCCATTGCTTAGCTCGACATTGTCACCTCCAAATCTTAATTCCCACATCTTATCACGGAATCGTACAGGTCTTACCTTAAAAATATCCATATCCTCATCTGATCCTTTTTTTTTTTTTTTTTTTTGGTACTGGGGCTCGAACTCAGGCCCTCAGGCTTGCAAGGCGTGCCCTCATGCTGCTGAGCTAAGTCCTGGGCCCTCCTTATCCTATCCTTACACACTGGCGCCATCGTGGCCCAAGCCACCACCGCCATAATCTCCTGCTTAGATTGCTGCGTGCTCCTCCTAACTCCTTCCTGTGCACCTGCTTCCTGCCCAAGCTTTGTTCTCCACAGAATAGCTAGGACGACCTTCCTGGGCACAATCACATTATCTGCCCTCTCTCCAGTATTGTCCTGATCACTCAGAATTTAAACCAAACGTGATTAGGGCTCTCTTATCTACCTGACGCCATCTCTCAGCTCTCTCTTAGACTCAGTCTATGTTTTAATCTGCTCTGCTGATTAGATCTCATCTGGAATGCACTCACCAAAACACTCCCGGCTAACCGTTCTCTTCTTTTAGACCTCTGGTCAGACTCATCTTCCTCGCTGTGAGCTATCCCCACCCAAACCTACAGGCCAGAGTCAGCTAAACCTATATATTTACTTGTTTATTGCTTTTTGACTCCCACCAGAATTTAAGGAGGGAAGAGAGTCTGCCTTGTTTGTCCTGTGTTCCCAGCTTACAGCATGGCGTTAGCTCACACAGCAGGTGCGTAACAAACATTGGTGGAATAAATACAGGAATGAATGCCTGCATAGATCAGCTGCAGCCTCATTGCCCTGGGTAACAAAGCAAGTTTTACAAGTCAAATTCTGCATGCATGCTTTATTTCTGCTGAATCCAGAGTCCATCCAATTCCCCCAGTTAATTTTGTCTGAAGAATCTGGCCTTCAAAGCCTCATGGGCACTCTATTTTGCACTGTCCGGGTGACCAGTTCACCTTCTTAAGAGCTGGTCTTGCTATGCAGTGATGTTGTACTCAAGTCCCCAGCACAGATCCTTCCGCCTGTGTCCCTGGGCTCCATTCTAAATCTCAGGGGGGCTGACCCCTAATGCTCAAGTTTCCCTGGCCACCTCCCAGGAGATATCAGGCTCTCCTTTTGCAGAAGTGCAGAAAAGAAATCACGAAGGTTTCAGGGGTACATGGCCTGAAGACCTGTTCAGTGACAGGATTCTCCAGAGGAATGAACAAGACCTAGCAGGTTACTGGGGAGCTGTTGCTTCCTGGGGCCCCTCCTCTCTGTCACCACTCTGGGAAAGGTTGTTGGAGCCAGATTTTTTTTTTTTTTATGAAAAGCTTGTTTATTCTTAGGACACTGGACACTTTGTTCAGGAATCGTTCATCCATTTGAAAACATTGCCTTTGTCAGGGCACCAAGGTCATTGCCAGCCGGGGTTATCAGCCGTGTGTGTATGCCAGCTCTATCAGGGGTATTTTAATAGGCACATCACCTCCCTGCCAAAGGGACTGAGGAACACAGGACAGCTAATTTTATGTAATGTTCTCTCTGCATGTATTCATAATACTCCATTTTTTCCTGGGACTTTAAGAAAAAAGAGAAAGCCATGAATAAGAAGGTTAGAATACAATGAACTGCTTTAAAAAGGAATTTTAAGTGGCACTGACTCACTTTGTGGTTTTTCATACCTACTTGATGGTGACAATGTTCCTTACCTACCTTTGCAGAGTGGTGGATGATTCCCACAACTGTTTATACTTACCCTTTTCTTTGATGCTCAAGTCAATTTTTCAGGACAGGTTAATGTGGCCCCTTATTTTAGGTGAGAAAATTGAGGCTCAGGGAAATGAGATGGTCTGTGCCAAACAAGGTCAAAGAACTAAACATGGCAGAACAAGCATGCAAGCATCAAACCGGCACCTCTCTTAATGCCAAGGTTTGATGGCGTCCATCCCATCGAGGTGAGCTGGCCAGGTTTGAGGGGGCTGGTGTGTGGAGGGAGAGCCAGGTTTGGTCAGAGACCCCAGAAATGACTATGCACGAAGAGTGACTCATCTGAAAACCTTCTGGAGACCGGGGATGGTGACAGCCTGCTCAAACGGTGGGCCTTGAGGGAAGAACGGCAACCCAGTGGCACTGTGCGATTTATTAACATGCTCGTTCTTTCTTTCTTTTATTCATTCCTTCTTTCCTCTTTTTTTCTAATCTTGGAAGAAGGAGATTTATTTATTTATTTGTCTTTTTCATTTTTATCGGTACCGGGGATCGAACTCAGGACTGCCTGCTTGCAAGGCAGGTGCTTATGCCGCTGAGCTAAATCTCCAGCCCCAAAGAAAGAGATTTAAACAGAACCGTTTACCTGCTTGAGTACTGAGCTCTTGTGTTAGCAGAAGCAATGGGAAAATGTGGTTTCAGGAGACTGGAGTTCTAGGACCAGCTTCACAATGTACAGGTTTGTTGTGTGACCATGAGCCAACAAGATCTACAACGAGTACGAGAGATTTGGTCACATCTATTTACAGCCCCAGTATACACGGCCAAGTCATAGTACACCCTACCAAAGAAGGCCGGTCAAAGTTTCCTAAAGCCACAATGCTAGAGAGTGTAACTAAGGGTGAATGATAGATGAAATTTCTAGAAGATCTTGGATTTGGAACATTTGGATAAAAACTAAGACAATGCACGGGATTTATTAGAGTTTAACAATAATTGTACCAATGGCAGCATTTGTTCTTGACTCACACTTTGCTTGCTGTAGCAAGGATTTGGGAAAATGAAACACACATGTCTTGACTGCAGAGGACTTAGGAGCTCCGATTGACTCAACGTTCAACTCCTGGAGAGGAATGAGGAGGACAGAGCTCTGTGGACTCTCCCAGTGGAGGTGTGGGCCTGCAGCCAGGACCCCCAACCCACCCTCCACAGCCCCAAGAGTGCTATTGTCCGCTAGCCAAACTACAGGGAGGGCTCTGAGGCCTGCCCCTGTGATTTATCTCACGGGGCTTCCAAAGGCTCCTTTTGAGAGTCTTAAAATTATAGACACGCATGTAGAGTTCACCCTTATTATCGTTTTGCATTAAGGATCAATGCCTCCTTTTGCTGCTACAAAATGTTTGTGTTCCCCCAAAATTTGTGCATTGAAATTTTAAACCCTGACATGTTATCATTAGGAGGTAGGGACAGGTCATGAGATCGAGTGCTTATGAATGGTGTCAATGTCCTTATAAAGAGCCGAGAGGGTTCTCTGGTACTTTTTACCATATGAAGGCACAGCAAGAAGAGAATCGTCTATCAACAAACTAGGAATTGAGGCCTCATCAGACACCAAACTGCTGGCCCCTTGGTCTTGGTTCGCCCAGGCTCCATCACTGTGGGATAAGTGCAGCCTTTCAGTCTGTGATATTCGGTATAACGACCCAAATGAACTAACATCCTTAGAAATTGCATTTGGATATAAGTTAGAAGTCTGAAAAACAGTGTCATAAACAGGTGGAGGCTAGGTTTTTCACTTAAGTAGCAACCTTTTGGGTGAGCGTCCAGGGCTCCATGATGCTAGGAGAGGCCCAGTGTCCGTTACCTTTTTGTCACCATCCTCAGCACTGAGATTTCCAGCCTTGCGGTGGCCTCATGGTCATCCAGATGGCTGCTGGAGCACTAGCCATCGAGTCCAGGTTACAAATGGAAAGAAGAGGCAAAAGAAAAATGTACGTGGTGATGAGTGAATCCTCCTTCTTGAGGAGTTTTCCCATGAGTCTCACCCAATAGCATCTGCTGATCACATTGGGTAGATTTAGTCCCATGGTCATGTGAACAAGAGGACCTGGAATATGCAAATAATAAGCAATAATAATAATCATTTCTCCCTCAACAAAATTAAAGTGCTATTGTAAGAAGTAGAAAGAGGTGCCTACAGCAGTCTGTGCTGTATGCGTAAAGTTTCTGTAAGAAACATTCTATTGGCTAAATACTTTATAACCAAAACCTATTTGAATTGCATATAAACTCTTTGTTAAGAAATCACACCCTATAAAAGTCTCTAATAGGGCTTCTAAAACTGATCTAAAGCTATACTTTAAATGTTTAACCATCCCACCAAAGCTACCTTTCTAATCAGCCGGGCGTGGATTTTTATCTATTCAGGAAATGTCAAATCTGTCTGCTCCTTTTCAGCCCAACCATGAATTCAGCTGCACACAGCCCAAGTCAGGCGCTGTGCTGGGCTCTACATATGAGAAGGTCGTTAAGAAATTTGGTTTCATTTCTTTTATGTGGTGTTGTGCACTTGCACCTAGAGGGAGACCTGTGTTTCCTGGTTCCGTTTCCAAACCTGTCTCCTTTTCCACATGATGTTTGTTAAATACCATCTTCTTTTTCCTGAAGGGTGTGGTCAGGACCTCTGATTTTTAGCAGCCGCTGAACCCTATACCCACTGCAACCGAATCATCTTCGCCCCTTCCTCCTGGTCCCGAGGCAAAGGGTAGGTTCTGAAAAGGTCCTGTGCGGTCACTTCCTGCCACTGTAACCTTACACAAACTCGCCGCTCTCAATGCTTTGCCAGGCAGTGATGTGGGGAAACAAGGCAAATCGTGTGAGTTTGTCAGTAAAGAACAAGCGCCTCCTGTCTTAAAAAGGTCCTTGACTATCTCTGATCAATTACAAGAGGCTTCAATGACTCTTGAGAGGATTAGACCAACAGACTTCAGGGAAACCTTTGTGCTTTTGTTCTCCAGGATGGAAACCCTTGAGAAGTATAATACACAAACAATACTTGGGGCGGAACAAGAGATCTGTCTGGGGCCCATAATACAACCCAGCCTCTCTTTTGAGCTCAGTTTATCCAACGCATTCAAAAATATTTTATTTAACCTTCACAATCATTGAAATGTTTTTTTAAAAAAAATACAACTGTATTTGAAGATTTCTCTAGCAGAATCTTCATCAGCAACCTCAACAGCTATTCAAAAATATGTACTTTCCAGATGCGTCACCCTCTTTCTATTAGAGAGCTCTGTTTAGAAATATTGCCTGGAAAGCCTAAAGTGGATGTTACAGCTTCACGGGCAGCTGAGGAGATTATGAGTCATGATGGTAAAGTGACTTTTCCAGAATCACAGCAGTAAATGGGAGCGTTAGGTAGGAAGCTAAGCCTGATCCTCCCATTCTCCTCCTGGTGATGCGAGGAAAAACCCTTCTCGTCCCCCTGCTGACCCTGTCCCAGCCCTGCCAAGAAGGTGGGTAACAGGAGGGCGGCACGTGTGGATAAGGGCGCGCTGGGGTAGGGGCTCTGTGGTACTGTGCCGGGGGTGGGGATGGGCATGGCAGAGCACACAGCAGAGTGAAGGAGGTGGGAGGGTTCCTGTCCTTACAGCAGAATCCTGGAGCACAGAGCCAGGGGCGAGACCTCAGTGGTGGATGTAGACACTAGATATGGCCACCGAAGTGGACATCTGCCTCTTTAGTTACGCAGTATGCATTGCTGTAATCACCCCCAGTACCCTACTTGGGAATTCCTAAGGATTCTCATCCATGGACTTTTAGAGGAGCTGAATCCAGCCGTGGCTCAGGAATCAGGAACCTGATGTGGGTTTCAGATCATCTACCCATGTCAGCAGTCACTGGCTCAGGAATGGCCCCTGACCCAAGTGGAGCCAAAATATTGGAAAATCATCCAGATGACTAAATTGAGGTAATACTCAACACGTGCTAGAATAACTAAAATTGATTGATTGATTGATTGTCTTTTTGAGACTATGCAGTTCAGGCTGGCCTTGAGCTCACTTTGTAGCCCACATTGGTCTCAAACGCACAATGATTCTCTTGCTTCAGCCGCCCAAGTGCTGGGGTTACAGGCATGAGCCACCACGCCCGGCAAATAACTAAAATTTAAACAACAGATCATAAAAAAGATTGACAAGATGCGGCACATCTAAAATGTGCATTTGCGCTTGGTGGGGTATAAAGGTGTACCCTAATAACAGAGGCCTGTCTGGTGGTGGCCACCAAAGCTGACTTGTCCGTGTTCAACAATTTTACTCCTGAATATGTACCCAATATTAACACTATTCTTTACATCTCTTTGTATTCTGTGTAGTTTTTCTTTCCTTGAATTTGTTGCTGTATGATTTACTACTATCTAATTATCACTGCAAGATGTTCATTATGGTTTATGTCTTTATCATTTTAAAATATGTTCTTGCTAAATTCAGTCTTGTTTGATTTGGGGGATGCAAATCCCTCTGCCTTTCTGGTACATGCCTTACTTTAGATTTTTTTAAAATTTTTATTTATTTATTTGCTAATCCAGCTCTTCTGGGTTTCTAGTACTTTGTGGATCAAGGCCCCGTCTGCCTTGTTCTGTTACCACTGTCAGCCCCCAAGGTCTCCTCCGTGACCGCACCTGCTCAACTTCACTACTGCTGGTGGGGGAATTGGTACCCTGTTCTTTGGGGCAAGATCCCTCAGTGAGACAGCTTAGGCTCCCGTGATCCAATTTGTCACCCAGTTCTTTGTCTTCCTGAGTACACAGGCATCTCAAGGATTCAAGCCAGTGGGGGCCTAGGGCCCCCTGAAAAGCTATAACTGAATACGCTTCCCTTCCTGGCCTCTGACTGCTGCCTGGAGGGCCCTCCCCTCTCCTCTCCACCTACCTGAACCCTAGTCAGCCTGTGAAGCTCACCTGAATGCCATGTCTGGGAGGAGGCCACTCTGGATGATACCTAGGCTCCACAACCACCTTTTCCATTTGTATGTAACAGTGCCACTCCCCTCTATCTTGGGTACAGGTAATAGAAAACCCAGCTAAAAATAGTTTAAGTCATAAGGAAAATGATTCATAGCAGGAACTCCAAAGGAGCAGTGGTTTCAGGGTTGGCTGACTCAGAAGTTAAGTTGTATCATGAAGGATCTATATCTCTCAATTACATCAACCTCAGTATGTTGACCACTCCCCCACGATACAGCTAGCAGCTTCCTAGGGTGCCTAACAGGATCCACAACTTAGTAAGTATCCCCATTAATAGGACACAGTGTGACATTTCAATACACGTATGCAGTGTGTAATGATCAGATCAGGATACTTGGCATTTCTGTCCCTTGGAACACTTATTCTTTCTTTGTGTTGGGAGCATACAAAATTCCGACAGCCACTTTGGAGTGCACAGTTAGTTGGGGTCCACCATAGTTACCCTACTATGCTAGGAAACATCAGAAGCTTTTCCTCCATGAGATCATGTGCCTTTTGAAGTGGGGAAGAAAACTTTCCCAGATGCCTCCACGGCACTGTCTCCCATCCACTGGCTACTGGGCATCTTGACTCGAGATAGAGAAAGAAAACCAGATGAGAGGGTTGGACCAAGCGAGATCTGCCCTAGAGCAGGGGAGAGGTCTAGACTCCCATAGGGCACATACACAACCCCGTTAAAGCTGGGGAGTCGCTAGCTGGGAAGTTAGGGGAGAAGGGACACCAAGCGAGCATCCCATGGAGCCTGCTGCCACACTCACTGGTTCACCCAGGACTTTGCCTCATACAGTCTAACCCCATCTTCTGGAGGTTCCTTATAAAACCTTTTGAGAGCCCGGAGCAGATGACCCTCATTTTGCTGTCTTTTGCCGAGATTGGCATGTGGTCACCTCTGGATAAACATTGTTCGGTGACTTACTGAGAAGGGGTATACAGTGATAGCAAAGGGTGATAGGTTGGGGGGCGGTAAAGATACTTATCATGGCACTAGGGAAAGAGAAAATGTTCTAACGTTCTAGAGCAATTTAGTTTTCCTGAGACATATAATCCTTCTAATGAAGGTGGAGGCCATGGCAGGGTCCAGGAAAAGGCTGAGCAAATGGAGCTGAGCCAGGCACGCCCATGGGAAGTGGCACAGCGTTATCCTCCTGAAGATTCTGGGTAGCTTCATTCAAAATGTCTGTCCTTGGATTTTGGAGATATCTTAAGAAGTGAAATAACTTTATGTTTGTTATTGATCAGTAACTAACACCTTCCTTGAAAGGTTAGTTTTTGGTATTATTTCTTACAAAGTACCACAACAACTATAATTTAACTATCTATGATTAAAGCTAGCAACTACATGTGAGCATGGGTGTGACCGTATGACGTGCGAGTGTGTGTGTGTGTGTGTGTGTGTGTGTGTGGACAAAGGAGAGTGCTGGGCTGGTCTCCAAGGGCCCCGTGGTGAGCAGTGACAATGCAGTTGCTGGAAAACACTCCTGTGAATTCTGTTTCTTCTTCCATTAGGAGGAAGGTGTCCACTCCCTACCCTTGATTGGCTCCTGCCCTCAGGGACTTGCTGGCCAACTTCAGTGACTGAGTACCAACAGAATGAGGGAAAGATTATACTACGTCTTCTGACACTAGATTATAAACAGAACGCAGCTCCCACCTGCTTTCTTTGGGGTACTTGGCTGTCATACAAGAAGTCTAAGGTTGTCCAGCACTCAGGGCACCCCAGCCCAGGTGTAGGATTTCTTAACAGGTCCAACTGAAGTCTCACCTAACAGTTCCCATCAACTACGAGTGAAGATACTTCCAGATGGTTTCTGTCCCCAGTGGTTGAGTTGCCCAGGCCTCCATGTCTTCCACTGAGATACGGATCCACGTAGCCCTTGCTACCTCCATAAGAACCGTCAATGTAAAGCAATGGCTGACTTTTGTTGTATTTTGGGATTATTTATTACACCGCATAGGTATTTGAAACAGTGGTCAGTATGTCCTTTGACCCTTATAGTTTGAAGTAACTGTTGTGGAGAAACAGTTGCTTGTGTTTTGCATTTCAAATACACATCTAATGAGTATTTAATAGTTTTTATTTACTCTAAGCAGTCAATGGTATCAGTGTCAGTGAATTCTAAAAAGTCTTCATACTTTTCATGCGAAATGCCAACTTTGTGTCCATTATAGTGAGTGGTTTACATAAACATTACTCATGAGTGTCAGGTAGGAGCATCCCATAACACATTCACCCCCAACTCATGACCAAAGCCCAGCGGCTGTTTACTGTGGTCTGCTCTGAGGTCCGTGGTGAGGGAAGTGGACACATTAATTTCCCTGAAGGGAGACACAACCAACTATACGAAGCTGGTGCTGAAGGCCGGGGACAAAAAGGAGACAGGCGGGGGAGGACACTCAAGCGGACGGGTGGAAGTGGCCAGTCCATCTGCTTGGATCATACTGGATCTCAGAGTAAAATGCTCCCTGGGCTCTACCTAAGACCTTTAGTCTTGGCAGTTTGAAGGCCGAAGCATTGACAAATACATACAACACAAAGGCAAATTAACAAACAAACAGAAACCCAGGAATTGGCATCCTTAAAATCAAATAAGGTTGAATTTAAGGCCAAAAAAATTGATGAAGCAAAGCAGAGCATTTTATAATGATGAAAGTATAAATCATGATGAAGAACTAGCAGTTATAGAGAGATTTAAAGTACATTAAAGAGCAAAAATGCATAAAATAAAAACTACAAAAATACAGAGAGAAGTAGGAAGAGAAATATTAATGGCAGAAGTTTTAATTCTTTTATCTGAGCTCATGGCGGAGAAAAATAAGAATAGTGAACACCAAAATAACACAATTAGCAAGATAGAGCTTGTGAGTGTATATTCAGACGCTGAGTAAAAGAATGTGTCTTCCTTAAAGTACTTATTCAATAGTAACAAAAATGTGACTACAGTAGGTTGAGATAATACTTCATTTACTTGCAAAATGGGATAATGGAGGCAAAATTCTCTGGTAGCTGTGTCATAAAAGTAGAAATTGATTTTTAAATAATTATAAATCTAAAGATCTTACCATCTGGAAAATTTAAGTGCCCCATTAATTCTTTGATCAAAAAGGAAAGTAAAGAGTATAGAAATTTTACAAAGTAATCATATAATACACATGTGCTAGTATCTATGTGATATAGGTATACAGTGCTCAGAAGTTCAAAGTCTTAATATCAACAAATAAGAAAAAATACAAATATATCAGCATCCAGTTCTGTAACTTGAAAAATAAAATGAAGATAAGCAAACGGAAACAACCTAGAGATAAAAGCTTAATTTATTATACTACAAATCAAGGAAATGAAAATACTAAAAAGTAAATCAGTTCAAGAATTGATTTTTAATGTAAAATTAATAATTACATGGGTATATTTGTTATCTGATCTGTTCAAGAAAAAAGGAAGAAAACAAATATATAAAAACTTAAGAAATGAAATTGAAGATAGCACAGATAGCTGCTTTACTTAACTCTATGTGCACAAATGACTGAATGAATTTCCTAGGAAATATAAATTAAGCAGAACAGAAAGAAAATCTAAACAGACAAATTAACTTGGAGTTAGAATGTGATATTAATGAGCTGATCCCCAAATAGTAATAGACCCATACAATGTCTCAGGCAGATTCTGTAAAACATTTAAAGAACTATTTTTGTTTTGTTTTGTTTGGAGAGAGATCTTGCTATGTTCAGTCTGGCCTTGAAATCACTATGTAGTTCACTGTGATCCTCACGCCTCAGCCTCCTGAGCGCTGAGATTACAGGCTCGCACCTACATGGCTGGAGAAGGGAGTGATGTTTTCCGTGCTTCTTAAACTGTTTTAAAACAAAAGAAAAAGAATAAAATGTGGAAATTCTTCTTGTTTAAAGTGATATTCCTTCAAAGTTACATCCCTGAACACAAGGGGCCGGGGTTGTGACTTGGGGGTAGATCACTTGCATGCACAGGTTCTGGTTTCATTTTCAGCCCTGCAACAAACAAACAACAAAAGCCACCGTAAACCATTACCAAAAACTAAATAAAATCACAGCTCAACCTCACCTATGAATACTGTTGTAAAAACCCACAATAAAGAAGGCAGTCCCATTAAAAGATAAAGGTATGGGGGCTGGGGATTTAGCTCAGCGGCATAAGCACCTGCCTTGCAATTGTGCGGTCGCGAGTTCGATCCCTGGTACTGATAAAAATGAAAAAGACAAAAAAAAAAAAAAAAAAAAGATAAAGGTATGTACGATTACCATTATTAACAGAAGAAAGAATTAAAGGATAAAAACTCCAACGGGTGACACAAATCAAATTGATCATCTCCCAATTCTGGGAGGCCGAGGCAGAAGGGTATTGAGTTCAAGCCCAGCCTGGGCAGTGTGGAGACTTAGTGCGAACCTGTGCCAAAATCAAAAAATATAAAAGCGGTAGAGGGCTTGGAATGTAGCTCAGTGTGAAGGCCTTGGGGTCAATGCCCAGTCCTCAGAGCTAAATAAACAAATAAATGAAAATCTTGAAAGCAGGACGTAGAATTATTGCTTTGGTAGACGGTATTGTTTGCCTGAAAAATTCAAGAGAATTAAATAATAATCTAATATGAATAATAATTAAATTTACATAAGAAGCTGGCCACAGAGCTGAAATTAGGAACTTAACAGTCTAATTACATAGAAACAACAACCAGTTACAATGTGCTAGAAGAAAATCCCCCTGTATAATAGGAACAAAAACCAAATTTTACAGATGAGAATTAAAAAGAAATTGTGCAAAGACTATGTAGAGAAAAAATTTTTATATAGAGAAAATTTTACAATGTAAATGGAAAAAATTGCATGACATATGTTCTTGGGTAGTCAGTTCAACATTAGAAAGATGTCGGTTCTCATGAAGTAAATCTATAAAAGTAGCAACAAAAGTAGCAATAAAATATCAGATTTTTAAGAATGAAACAAATTAATTACATAGTCTATCTCAAAAAATAGTT